GACCAAGACCATACTTGAGGTTATCAGACAGTTTGTCTGGATACAGCCTGATGTCTCAACTGTACTTATTGGATTCTGCCTTGTAGCAAACTATGTGTGTGACAAGGACTTTGACCACTCTGTGCAGATGCATAACAATGCATAATGAACTTGGGGTATGATTCAATTATGTCACACAAGTCAAAGATAGGTTCCACTGTATTTAGAAACAGACGATAGATGCAATACTGTGTAACTTTATAACAATCAAATGATTTACAATTACCCTTGAAAAGTTCCAAAACCAAATAGAACTACTTAAATTATGATTACACTTGACCAATATATTCGGCAGTTTTTGCCGTTATTGTTAATCTGAATTAAAGATAGGATAAATGATAAAAATATGATAATGCATATCACACACAAGTGTGTATTTTACGCAAATAAATAAGTCTTGTATACATTGATTAATTGGAAAGGGTCCCAATTGGGATTGTTCACTAGCCAATATATTAGCAAATATTCCCATGGGCGCTTATTAGAGCGAGGCGCTTATTACGTCAAATACTTTAGTTCTGTTTTTATGTATAAGAACCTATTTTATGCAATTTGCATAGCCTTGTTTACCTTTCCTTATGTTTTGATGTAATGCAAACATTTGAGAAAAATTCAGGTGAGCCTGCCTTATGGCACTACAGGAATTGTTTTCAGAAGATCAATTACAATTTTGTATTTTCTGTACAATTTACTGTTTGCTATGGCTTTTTTACATTGGTTAACATGGTTTGGTTAACAGTTGCTTGATAAATTGTCATTACCTTACTCATTGAGAAACCAAATTTTTACCCTTTGTCAATATATGTGTGTTTCTTATATTTTTAATAACAAGCTTTTAAAGATGTTATAAATTGTTTCAGGCACCTGGATTTCACAATGACACCAGATCAGACAAGTCATACAAAGGACTCTCCGGATGATGAATAATCCTCCCCAGAACAACTAACAGGTTCACCTCAGAAAGTGATGATTCTGAATGAATAATGCCACATCAGTGTGATTCTGTAGGCTGTTTATGTGGTGTACACTGACGCTGACTATACAAATCTGAATGACTTTTGTGGTTTACTGCACAAACATAATTGACTTTAGATATTCTTCTACCTTGAAATTCTTCTGAGATTTGACTAATTTGTTTATTTAGAAAATGGCATTGAAGCATCTGTTTCTGTTTTTGAATGTTCTTGCAAACACCTCTGGTTACTGAACCAATGAAATGTCATAAAATCAATAAATATGATTTTTTATCTTAACAATTTTTTTGTTTTGCTTCTTTAAAGAAATATGATATTGATCATTCATAACATAGGTGCTAATATATATCAAATATACTAATGCCCTAATGTTTTCCTACAATTAATTCAGCTCACTGAACGAAGTTTTTAGTTCCATGTCAGTAGAAAAGTTACATTGATATTTTTATGTACCAGTACTTTATTAGGTGTTTTCTGTGGATGCCATTAGTCTTATGCACCCATTTGGGTTAATGATATTCTGTTTCGAACTTCAATGAAACTCGTCTGTCAAGATGTAACAAGTATTGATACAGTTCCAAAATAAACTTTTAATCTCACCAGGAACAAAGGCCCAAGTGAGTACATAGCCAATGACTTTCATTTTTTTTGTCAGAGTGAGTATGGTGTTGTGCCACTTTATGAGCAAAATTCAAACAATATTATGATGGGTGACACCAAGCAATGTACCGATGTGGTGAATCGAATGCTTCAACCACTAAGCTAAAACAAACTGGGAATATGAAGATGATATGTAAGGATACCATCATACCAGGACTGAATGCTTTTCATTTAATACGCTGAACATCTAAATTGAAATATATATGAACTTGAAAAATGTTTTCACCAAAAGTACATGCCCATAGATCTCAACTTCAAGGGGATATTTACAACTAAAATAGCACAGAATATTACTACAGCTATCTGCTATGCCCAGGCTAACATTATTTACTAGGAGAAAGACATCTCGAAAAATTGCATCCGGATACCTGCCGGATACCTGCCGGATACCTTCAGCAATGTTCAATTTTCATGGTTAGTTTCCAATATATTTTTAGGTGTTTCACACTTAATTGAACAAAATGCACCCCCCAAATTGTGACATGTTTTTGGAAACTCAGAATGAGGTATCCGGTGCCGGATCCCTGGACACCCAGATTGAGGTATCCGGTGAGGTATCCGGTGCCGGATACCCGGATTCCAGGTGACATACTTTCCGGTGAGGTGTCCATGCCGGATACCACAGATCTGGTATCCGGCAAGGTATCTGCCACCGGATACCCGGACGCGTTTTGGGTAAGTGTCCGGTGGTATCCGGCAGGTATCCGGATACCGGAAACTGCATTTTTTTTGCTGTGATGGGCGACGCTTCGTGGATCAATGCCCATGTATCGCCATCACTCCGTGGAAAAGTGAGATCACTCGAAAGAAAGAATGAACCATAAAATACGTACATCTGAAAATATAAATGGATGCTAGAAAGTCCCACTAACAAAAGGTACAACTACTGACTGTCTATGTTTTGAACGCGACAGGCATCACCTTCTGAAGCGAGACTTCTCTCTAAAGTGCATGTCAGTGTAAGCCTCTATAACCTACAAAATCATTATCGATTATGGTCGAGTGTATGACTATTGAAATCATTACGCTCCAAGTAGGTAGACAGTTTTGGATAGGTTTTTTCGCAAACATTCCTACACGCATAGTTGCATGATCGACCGTTTGTCCGACTGGTAGATCGTAGTGTGAGGGTGACACAATATCAGTATCACACAGGGCAGATAAACTGCAATGGAAGCGTCGCTCAGTATCCATCTCATCCAAAACAATCGCAAACATTTAGCGTGCATATCTTGTCATAGCTACTTACCAGGTTGACTCCCTGATGCAGGAGTAGTGTCTTGTTTCTGGACACATCTCTGTTGCGACTCACAGGAGATGACATAACCAGGATTCTTGCCTAGCGACTTCCACCAAGTCAAGACTGACAGGATGGCGTGACTCTCACCCACCTCATAGCTGACGACTTGCTCTGCACAGTGAAAGAGTGAAAAAACATAGTTCCCTCCAAACGGTCCGTCGGTCCGTTGGTCGGTGGATCGGTGGGTCGATGGGTCAGTGGGCCGACCGGTCAGTCGGTCGGTCAATCAATCGGTCGGACTTTCAATGCTCAAGCCTGGACCAAACAAACCATGGATTGTAAGCATGAGCCCTGATGAACGACAGGTTTCGATCCGTGTTTATTCTCACAAAAATGGAAGTATCCTGAGGACCAATTCGACCTCGGAATTACCGTGGAGACCATGTACCATGTTTGTCAAAAGCCCCTACTACATCATGTGCATGGGAGCTTATGATGTCTGAACAGATGAGTGTCATTCACTCCCCATAACATACAGAACCAGTTCTATCAACTACTCTGTGCCATCCTGATTCGACGACTGAAGTCGTTGTGATATAGTTGTACTTACATAGCCCATATCAACCATAGTGGGGTCTCGGTTTGAGATGGGTTTGGTATGAAAAATGCCATGTTGCCATATAATAACATATTATATTAACATCAGCAAAACAGCGGCAACAACACAGCGGCAGCAAAACAGCGGCAGCATAACTAGTATCAAACCTATTGATCTTAACGATTGTACCTGTTCTATTTTATGGTGCTGGCATTTGGGGTTTGAATAAGTATAAGGAAGTAGAAATAATTCAAAATAAGGCTTGTCGTTTGTTTCTAGGCGTAAGAAAAAATGCCCCAGTTACTGCTATGAGGGGGGACATGGGCTGGTGTTCTGTGAAAGTGTCACAGCACGTTGAATGCTTTAGATTATATTTTAGAATTCAGAATATGCAGGCCCATCATCTCCCTCTTATCATTCATAATTGCTCCAAAATCCGATCACAATCCTGGGATAAAAAAATCGTAAACATTTTAGCTCACTATAATTTGTCAAATTTACCTTATTGTGGATACAGCATTAAACAGTGTGTTGACCGTGTAAAGTGTTTCTTAACTGCTGAAGATTGTGATATGTGGTATACTGCGCTATGGAATGACAAGAATAATCCAAATGGCAATAAATTACGCACATACAGAATGTACAAATCATCACCTACTGCTGAGCCTTATTTATGTCATGTACGTTTTAGAGATCATCGAAGACTTTTAGCATCCTTTCGATGTGGTATTTTACCTTTACATGTTGAGACCGGCCGCTACGCCAAGCCACCTACCCCACTGTTGGATAGGACTTGTAAATATTGTCACGCCAATCCTACTAATGATCATGTAAATTATGTTGAAGATGAATGTCACTTTTTAATAGAATGTCCATTTTATGATGATTTAAGATACAACTTAGCTAAAGAAGCAACTTCTGTAGATAAAACATTTCATTATATGAGTAGTTTAGAAAAGTTTATTTTTATTATGAACGAAGAATCGCTCCAATGTATTTTAGCCAAATCAATTTACAACATGGTTAAAAGAAGGCAATTTCATTTTAAGCCAAGTATGTATGTATGACTTGTATGTATGTATGTATGTATGTATGTATGTATGTATGTATGTATGACGTGGTGTGTGGGCGGCGCAACGCTGTGGGGGGAGTTAAGGGGGAGCGCACTGTTTAACTAAGGACTTTCGAAGTCAGTTGCCCTGTATCCTGGCATACTGGTGCGCTCTTCACTGAAACCGCCCACGGCCGTGCTCCGCGCCTGCATCACGAGGTATGTATGTTTTATTCTGTTTCAACTGAATAGTTTTATGATTGATATGTTTTATAGTGTCTCGTAGGTCATATTTGGCCGGATGTTATATTTTACTGTTTTGTATATATCGTATTACGAAGTGTATATAACATGTGACACTTTAATAAACAATATTCTCTCTCTCTCTCTCATTGTAACCACCCTGCATAAACACTCACTAGTAAATTTAGGTCAGGTCGCCTCGGCTGTTGACAGATTGAGTCATTACGTCACACTGCAATAGGACGATCTGCGCAGTCGGTCGTGACACAGGCGAGTAACAATCCCACTAAATAGATTCAGACGGAGATTCGTCTACACTACTTTGAACAGAACTCAAGTACCTCTGAGACTCTGAGGGGACATTTTTCCCAATCTGGTAAGATCATTGCGTATATTTGCTTTCTAGACTCGTTATTTTACAAGCCAATGTCACCTGCCCACCCATTTATTCACGTGATATGGTACGTGATTTCAGAATCTTCAGCACCTCGGAGAGGCAAAGAACAAAAACTTCCGGATAGAGTAAGCGTAAGATATTTATACCAGCCCGGTGAACTCGAAGGAGGCCTACGTCGTGCAACCGATCCGATTTGGTCTCTTAAGACATATAACATTAGTCGATTGGTTATGAAAGAAGGAGAGCCTATTCTTTATTTTCTTAAACATGGACCGGGCAGGCCATTTGTACGAGAAGAGTTGCTCATAGTCCCCGACGATACAGTATCACCACCATTACTATAAGCATAGGTAGTTACACCATCATTATCAATCCATCTCTTTGTATCTATGGGGGATAATGATGTCTTGTTCATTCTTAATCCACATGTCCTATGATTGTAATTTCTTAAAGAGTTCATCTCGTGTTTGAACGTTCTACCGTTGAATAATGATTCTTTATACTGTTCGTGTTTGACATGCTTTTTTACCACATACTTCTTAACACCCTTAGCTTTTCTTATCTCCCCATTATCGGACTTCTTTATAGAATACATCTTAGGTCTTAATCCGACATACTCTGCTATAGGAGTCCCAGCACATTCATCCTTCATCTTACCTAACACCTTTTTATTTACTACGCTGTGCAGTGGATTATCTTTTGGGTAAATGCTCGTGTCGTACATATCTATTTTTCCTGCCATACACATCCTCGGTTTGTATGTCCATCAACAAAGAATCTGTGTCGGTATATAACACCTCGCATCTATCGCCGTATTGCTTCTTAAGTTCGTTGTAATAACAGTCATACATTAAGTGTTTTGACAAGTCGAGAATATTCATACCAACGTACACCAGTCTGTTGAATTTTATATTACTCTTCTGCATATGCAACGCGGCTAAGTCGTTATCAAATATCTTGCTTCTGTTAAAACCCGGACTGGCTATAAGTTTCCTTAGTCTTTCTTCTTCATTAGATCTGACTAATTTAACATCAACATGCTTCCTTAGATTCTCCATAGTATTACCAAAATTTAATACTGAGTTATTCATGAACTTATATAGATTTTTTCGAAATCGCTGGTGGCTATCTTTCCTTAATCTGTGTTCATCCTTATATAGGGCTGCATCCAAGGGCTTTGATCAAACTTTAGAACTCTGTGTATTATTTTATTTAGTTTCATACCTAACGATAGATATAACTGGAGATTTCTGTAGTGAACTATATATTTTGTCTTATCCATCAAATTTGGTACGAGTTTTTCTACGTTAGCTAACCTTCTATTACCCATTAAGGAGTGTTGATATCACCAATATCACAAATTGATAAGGTGGAAAAGCAAAATAATTTAGCTATAAATATTTTCGGACATTCGTCTAAAGGAATTGTTGTTCACAGGATAAGCTCCGCTCCAGAACATATTCCAAGAATCAATTCATTTCTGATCGAAAAAGATGGAAAATATCATTTTACGTGGATAAAGAGTTTAAACAGGCTATTATATGATCAACTAAATATAAGGGAAAGAAATATTTCTGTGAAAGATGCCTGCATGGGTACAGCAGACAAGATCTATTGGAAGCGCATAAAGAAGACTGTAGAGGTGTTGGACAGAATGCTATCAGGACAGCACATAGTGGTAGTGGTTGTTGTCTAGACGCCCCGGAGCACCCAGCCTAACCCTAGCTAGGCTAGGTGTAAGACCTTTCTTTTCTCCTCTTTTCTCAATTTCTCTGGACCAAGGCTTATATAGCCAAGGTCCCCTGACATTTAGTAAGTAATAAATATAAATGTAAACAGTAAATCATCAGTGACATACTTACACATCCTGTTCAGGATGGCAGACAGTCTATGTACACAAAAATGGGGATTAACAAATAGGATTAGCATCTTATAAATAACAGCAATTAAGTGTTTCAAGGCATATAGATGTCATGGCTCCAGGGTAATGAGCCTTTGCAATCAAATATTCTTCAGACAATGGATGTCGTAAATCAGTCGCTATGCGTTTACCAACATGTTACCGTCTGTAACTGGAGTAGTCATGCTTCTTATAGCATTATATGGGGGCTAACCTCTAATTGAACTTGTTGTTGTGACATCGGGGGTGACGTTTTCTCTTCTCCGGTCTTATAAAACAACCATACAGCCGCTATAGCAACACCTCCTACTAGTGCCCAAGTTTTAATCGGATCAATATATGGATTATTATGCATTAGTTTCGATTTCCTCGCGAGTCCGCCCATTCTTCCAGCCGCGATTTTTGGGTTTTTTTCCGCGTCGCTCTGGCCTGTTTTTGTATTTCCTCATTCACTATCTGTTGTGGTGCAATCGGGGTTATTTCCTCGTTCAATCTGTTGAGTCTCCATTATTATTAAGTGGGGATGTATGTTTAAATTGACAATACCTAGCCGCTATTAAAGCTGTGGTGAGTGGAGCTAAGAACATTCTGTAGCTATGATGAAACTCACAGCTTACTGAGCTTAAAGCGTGTTTGATGAATGGGTATTTCTCGAGAGACTCGCATAAATACATGCGATGTTCTGCCGGGATAGGGAGAAACGTACCAGCTACGACTGTGTATAGTTGTAATATAGCCGACCCTATTGTTTTAGTCATGGTAGCTCCCAGTCTAGACTCGTAACGCACGTACAGTTTTTTTAATTTCTTCATCGGTCATGTTATCAATGTTATCAATTCGGTCAAAATATCAAAATATTGGGAACATTTTCCACAGGCTACCAAAGCGGCGAGTCTTTCTCTATGTTTATCTGAAGATTTATCTACATGTTGTTCTGGCTCATCTTTGAGCATTTGTTCGATGAGTTCGTCACATTCCATAATGTAATACCTAAGGAGATATTTAAGTCTAACATAATAAAATATGACATATCCAATACAACCCGTAATAATAAACTATTGCGAAAGAATGAGGATTTCAAGCCACATTTAAATTTATCGTATTTTTGCTATATTTTTCCTATAATATTGCCACATTTTGCCATAAGTTTGCCACATTTTTGTTATAATTTTGCTTAGCAGTTGCTGTATTTACTATAATTTTGCTATATTTTGTTAAGCAATTGCATAAGCAGCTGGTTGATCAGTTTTTAATACGAGTTTACAATGCTTCGTTGAAGCTAACAATTTTCTGACTTTATCTCGTTCGAGCTTGGTATAAAGAACATCATTTTTCGCGTAAACCTTCCTCGAATGAATCTCGGTCTTTACAATGAAACAGGGCTACCCACTTGATCTGCCCTCTGAGATCTTTCAGGACAGAGTTGTATTTTTGAGGAAGTACCCAAACGCTTTGTTGAGTATGCCATCCGGAGAATGCTAAATATGAAAGCATATCTTTCTTTTTGGTTAGTTCTTTACTCGCGCTGCAGTCGTCTATTACAAAAAGGGTTGATTCTCCTTTGTATTTTTCGTGACATACTCGTTAACAGTCTTGTAAACGATCGCCGGGTTAACTTTGTGTATCCCATTGTCATTCATTACACAATCTCTCGATAGGTATGTTTTATTAACGCTTATAGTCGGGCACAGAATAATAATATGGGCGAAAACGTCCCGATAATGACTTTGTAAAATATCTAGAATAAAAGCTGTTTTTCCACAACCCGTTTGCCCGCATATGATAGCGCAGTGCGGTTCTTTAGGTAAAACATTATTAATAGATTGCTTGCACGAATCTTCCATTCTCTATATTAAATTGCGCATCCATTATCATGTACAAATATATGTTTAATTTACCAGCTGATTCCTGGAGCTTCGTTATCTGTATAGTGACACCCTCGCTGGCATTTTCTATTCTCCTCCCACTGTCGTGAGGTTGGACATCGTCCGTTGTTCGCATGTCGAGCCATAGCGCGTACTTCGTTGTGAGGTATTCACCCATCGATACACTCCCGAGAGATCTTTCACGACCGCGTTAACTTCTTGGTTTTGTTTTATAGAAGGAAGTTTTTTAATCTCATCCCACTGTTGATAGGCTAGCATTCCTTGACTATATAGTTGGTTAGGGACGCCCTCGGTAGTCAATTCTACTTTTGTAATCTTGGGATTGTAGAACTTCTCGGTATTTCTCTTAAACGCATCGGGGGAGGGGGGGGGGGGGGTCCTCGAACAACATTAAAATACCCTTCAACGACCTCGTGGGGACGTTTTGATTGATATTCCACGTCGTACGCGATCGTACAAAATGGCTAAACTACCTGTATACTGGTTACGAATTTGTCTGGCTAATTCGGGATCTGTTATCATATCATACTCCAGCAAGATATTGTCAATGGAATAGCTAGCCGTTTCACCCCAGTGACTTAGATTACTCTACCGTAGTCATTAAAAGTGAGTTCGTATTCTAACCTATCGCCTAGTGATGCTTGATAAAAGGGCATGTGGGAATCTAGTAATTCAAAGTCTAGCAGAATATAGAATCAGTTACCTAATGCGTTGGCAACGGCCTGATCTTTTACAATGGTACTATCACCACTAGAAGCATCTACACGCAGTCTCAATGTGTTCCGATTACAAATACCTTGGTATTGTAAGTTTTCCCGCTCTTTATCCGTTCTCCAGAGATCCATGTAACAATTGTATTCATCGCTATCATCGATACTCAAAACTTCATTACCGCTAATTTTAATCGCGACTTTCTTAACGATAGCACGACCTATGTTCTGAACGGGCTCCCCGTTAACGTCAGCAGAAGTCAAAATAATCGTAAATGCTAGTCGGTCAGTTCCCGGAACTAAGACATCCTGTGCGCCGAGATTAGGAAAGCGAACCATAAGCGTTTGATTCTGATCAATTGTACTAGGGTTATTATTTATAGTTACAGACTGACGAATTGCTTTGACCCCTAATGGATCTCGAAGTCTATGTTGTGGGTTTAACTTGCGTTCGTATTGCGAAGACATTGTTATATTGAAATT